CGAGACCGGCCCACCTGCTGCTGAGACCCAGGTAAGACTCTCTACCCCGACTTGTACCTTAGACCAGGCCCCTTTAGGGTGGGATACCCCAGAGATGTACGGGAAGGAAACCAGGGAAGACCCGACGCTAGCCAAGTACAGGGCCAGGGCCGATTCTGGGGGAGAAGGAGTAGATGGGGAGCACTACGAGTGGGTGGGGGATAGACTGTACAGGATCCTGAAACCGTCCCAGAAGCTGAGTACCCCTCCGCAGAATCGACAGCTAGTGGTATCTGCCAAATACCGGCAGGAGATTCTGCGGATTGGGCATGATGTGCCATTAGCAGGCCATCTAGGTTCCCGCCGCACAGCTCATAGGATCACACAAAACTTCTTCTGGCCCAATTTTAACCGAGATGTGCGGGTTTATTGTAGCACGTGTGACACCTGTCAACGGGTAGGTAAGCGGGGGGATCACCCAAAAGCTAGGCTTCAGTCGATGCCTATCATTGGAGAACCCTTTTCCCGCATAGCCGTTGACATTGTGGGTCCACTGGCCAGGGCTAGCCCATCAGGTAAGAAGTATATTCTCACTGTGGTGGACTATGCCACACGTTATCCAGAGGCAGTAGCGCTGTCTAATATAGAGGCAGAGACGGTTGCTGATGCCCTGGTTAAAATTTTCACTAGGGTCGGGTTCCCTCAGGAGATTCTCTCCGATCAGGGAACCCAGTTCACCGCTGTGCTTACCCAGCAGCTGTGGAAGGTGTGCGGTATTAAACCTCTGCTTAGTTCACCGTATCACCCACAGACTAACGGTCTCTGTGAGCGATTTAATGGCACCCTCAAACAGATGTTGAGGACCTTTACTGACATTTGCAGAGACTGGGAGCGATTCCTGCCTCATCTGCTATTTGCATACAGAGAGGTGCCCCAGGAATCTACTGGGTTCTCCCCCTTTGAGTTACTCTATGGGAGAAGGGTCCGTGGACCCCTAGATCTCATTAGAGGACACTGGGAGGGGGAGACAGAGCAAGAAGGGACCCCCATAGTACCATATGTCCTGGAACTCCGGGACCGCATGGAGAAACTATCCCTGATGGTAAGGGAGAATCTCCAGGCGGCCCAGGGGAGACAGAAACGGTGGTACGATCGGGGTGCCCGACAGCGGGTCTTCCAGGTTGGGCAGAAGGTTCTGGTACTCAAACCTGTGAAGACGAACAAGATGCAAGCATCTTGGCAGGGCCTGTATAAAGTGTTAGCTCAGGTATGTGAAACTACCTACCTTATAGCCAGCTGTTCAGATGAAAGGATTCAGCGATCCTTCCATGTGAACATGCTGAAGGAGTATCAGGAACGACCAGAGGATGTTGCGGCAGTATGTGCCCCAGCTACTGACGACCCCGAGAACTTACCTTTACCTGACTTGTTAGAGAGGGATCCCCAGACAGACCTTACTAGTCTTGTACAGCTGGGGGACTGGCTAAACCCGGCAGAGAAGGTACAGGCGAGACAGTTACTGTGGGAGAAGCAGGCGACGTTCTCCCAAGAACCCGGGTACACTACCCTAGCTGTACACAAGGTCGAGACACCCGGACAGAACCCCCTACGACAACCCCCATACCGTATCCCTGAAGCAGTCCGAGAAGGAATGCGGAAGGAGATACAGGAGATGACCAGGCTGGGGGTTATCGAACATTCAGACAGCCCTTGGGCCTCGCCTGTAGTTCTGGTGCCTAAGAAAGATGGGACCACCCGGTTCTGCGTGGACTACAGGCGGCTCAACGAGCGGACCACCACTGACGCCTACCCTATGCCCCGGGTAGACGAGTTATTAGACCGTATTGCCAGGGGGCGCTACCTGACCACCATTGACCTGTGTAAAGGTTATTGGCAGATCCCCCTGGCCGAGGATGCTATCCCTAAGTCGGCATTCGTCACCCCATTTGGCCTGTACCAGTTTAAGGTTATGCCATTTGGGATGAAGAATGCTCCGGCTACTTTCCAGCGTATGGTGGATAGGCTCCTCGATGGCTTCCAGGACTTCGCATGTGCATACCTGGATGACATTGCGGTCTACAGTGAGACCTGGGAAGACCACTTAGTTCCTCGTGGGGGTGGTGCTGGACAAGATTCGGGCCGTAGGCCTGACCTTGAAGCCAGACAAGTGCCAACTAGGCATGGCAGAAGTACAGTACTTGGGTCACAGGGTAGGATGTGGAAGCCAGAGACCGGAGCCAGCCAAGGTAGAGGCTGTAGCTAACTGGCCCACACCTATCACCAAGACCCAAGTGCTGGCCTTCCTGGGGACGGCAGGGTATTACCGACGTTTTGTCCCCGACTACAGTACGGTTGCTAAGCCCTTGACTGACCTGACTAAGAAGAATTTGCCTAAGCAGGTCCTGTGGTCTCCAGCTTGTGAAGCCGCGTTTCAAGCACTTAAGCAGGCTCTTGTGAATGCCCCTGTCCTGGCTGCCCCAGTCCCTAACAAACGTTTTCTTGTTCATACAGATGCTTCCATGTATGGACTGGGGGCTGTGCTAAGCCAGGTCGGGGAAGATGGAGGAGAGCACCCTGTCGCATACTTAAGCAGAAAGTTACTACCTCGGGAAGTGAGTTATGCGGCAGTGGAGAAAGAGTGTTTAGCCCTGGTCTGGGCACTGAAGAAATTGAGCCCTTATTTGTACGGGCAGGAGTTTTCCCTTATAACAGACCACAACCCCCTTGTCTGGCTTAACCGGGTCTCAGGAGACAATGGCAGATTGCTGAGGTGGAGTTTGGCACTGCAGCCTTACAACTTCACCATCAGCTACCGACCCGGTAAGCAGAATGGGAATGCGGATGGGTTGTCCCGGCAAACAGACGTCCCTACTTCTTCCCAGTCCGGTCATCCCCAAGTTGACCCGCCAAAGGGTCAAGCCGGGTCTGCCGGAGTGTTCCACAAGGGGGGAGCCGTGTGACAGACCCATCTGTCTGGATTAAAAGTACTGTGTTCGTCTGCTTTGCCGGTTACATGAATTTCCCCATTCGTATGCTTTGTTTAAGGGAATGTCGGTTTTTGTCGAACGAAACTACCGAACGGACGGCCACCCAGAAGAGAAGTGTGCTGCTGGTTAACATATTGATCCCCATTAGAACGTTGCGGTTAACCACAGACACTTCTCAATTAAAACCGAATGCCGGGTGGTCGTCGTTCGTATGTCGACCACGAGGCGGCGGCCATTTTAACCATGCGAAAGACCAGCGGTGTTCGATTATTTCATGGATCTGAAAACGGACACTTTTTCAACCGAACACCGCTGAAGCCGTCGACCTCCCCTTCTCAATCGACAAAAGCATACGAATGCCGGCCGTTCGGGAGATTCAACAACACGAATGGACTTAACCCAGATAGCCGTCCCATGGAGTCAATCGCATACCGAAGAACTGTAATAGACTTTGACTCCATGGCGATTGAACTATGCGAATGGGATCTGAGCGCTATTCGCCAATAATATGCACTCAGATCCAGGCTATGTGGGGATGTGTTACACGAATGCAATATGTTCGGCAGTTATATATAGAGTTATAGATTTTTATGTGTTTTGTGACTTGTATTTAAAATGGCGATTTGCCTCTGCTCGGGGAGATAATTGAATTACTTCCCAATTATCCCCCGAGCAGAGGGGAGGGAACTGTGATGCATGATGGGAATATTGTGGGGATGTGTGTCCAAAATGTCCCCATGTCTTTCTGTAATTCCAGTCTCCCATTTGGTCCCCTAGGGGAGTGTCCACCAAGTGGGAGACCTGCATAAATACCGGGGAGGTAGCCCACAGTAAATCAGTTCGTGTTTTACCCTCAAAGCGGAGCTTGGTCTCGTTATTGGGGGGATTTTATTACCGGCGACTAGAGACTGCTTATTTGGATTATTTGCCGCTTGGAAGATATTGGCGTTCGGTTACCATTGTCAGTTCGTGGATTTGGAGCTCATGAAGGGAAAGAGCCGTACAGGTACCGTTCGGGAGTTTGGAGTGTTCCCTAGCTGGCAGTTCGCATGGTTTTACTATACCCGCTGCCAGACCACATTATTGCGAACGGGGAGCATTCACTAAACGGCGGTTTGTACATTTTATTACTGGAGGTACCGTAACAGACATGTAGAAGGATTTGGTGATGTGGTCTCAACTCTCAAGGGATTGATTTGGCTAAACTGTAATTTTTGGGGGACTGGACTTGGAATTTGTGGCAATTATTAGCAAGTGGGGATTTTATTGATTAATCCTTTTTCATGCTTCTTGCACTAGATGGATTCCTCTTTCCGATGTTGAGTTGCAATATTGCATATCATTTTCTATCTATTTCATCTATGAACACTCACATTTCTTATCTATTTAATATGTATGCGGCTAATTGTGCGGGCTGGTATGATATTATAATTGCAGTGTCTGGTGTGCACTTCATCCGAGACCTCATGAAATTCTCAGATGAAGTGCACACAGCAAGAAATGCTTTAGACAGTGTTCCTGGTATAAGTGTTCCTTCATGATCTTAGATGTTGCTGTCTTGATATGAAGAAATAAAGGTATTTGACTTTTTTCAATTTCATTTTTTTATGCTGCTTTTACTCAGCCATACCCCATTCAGGAGTCTTACCCATATTTAGTGAATAAATGAGAAGAGGTGCAGTATCAATAGATGATTTTTAGAAAGTCTGTGATATAAGTGTGATATTCATAGATTAGAATTTGAAATATTGTATTATAAACAGATTATAAAAGATGATGACACAAATAAGGCAAGACTTCAAGAGTGTGGAATAACTGTGATGCAAATTTTTTAGATTTCCAAAGTATTGGCAGGATAATTCAAATACCTACACTGGGCATTGTGTTCGGATAATTACGTCAAAAAAAGCCATTAGAATTTTTTAATGATTTTATGTTGGATATTATGCTTTTAGTTTTTTTGTACATTCGATATAATTTCTATATCATTTATTGTTTCTCATCTCTCCTTCCTTTTTTTAATTAGATTCTTAATTTGATTCTGAAATTGACCTGAAAGAGATATCTCTGGTGAAACCCATGGAGTTTATTAATGGAGAATACTGTATGAAGAAAATATATTCTTGAAACTATAATTAGAGATAAAGAAATTGAAGATATACCCTTCCTTTGTTGTTGCTGGCTGTGGCCTGTATTAAGATATGCTTTTGCAAATTACGAGTTCTTGACATTGCACATAAGGGTAGTAAAAAGGAAATATACATAATTGCAGTTTTTCTTTCACATTGCTAAATGCAAAATGTTATGACGAATATGTTTATATACTACAACTGATTACAGTAGTATCCAGAATTAAATTTGACAAAAACTGTTTTTCAGTATATATAATAACACATAGGTATGCATTTTTGGTTCTAAAATAAAAGCCCGATTTTTGCAGATTGTAATCATTATTTTGGTGTAAAATGTTTTTAGAAAATATTAACACATTTAAAGCATCTCTGTAACTTCTTTAACTTCATAAAAATATAATTCTCATAAATACTCCCTACATTTAATTCAAGTATCAATGCAATCAACAGGTATAAGACAAAGCAGGGACCACTCTGTATTATTGTAAAGTCCTACGTTGAGAATGCTTGATAATAGGTGGAGCTTCTGCTGTCAAGGTCAATAGGGATACCCTGTTGTGTCTGAAGTGTGGCTTTTATTTCTAAAAACACCCTAGACACAACTGGGTAATCCCTAAATCCTGGACTATTAGGGGGTATTTGAAGACTGGGTTTGAAACCACTGAGCTATGGGTACAGCAATAGAGAATGGCAAGATAAGTTATATCGAAAAACCCTTTGTCTTGTGGTATCATCCAAAGACCTCTGTGTTGTACTTTCAGACATGCTTGAGACTATGGCAGTGACATGGTTTTTGGTGATCAAAGTACTTGGAGCTGATGATGGATGCCAGAAAATATATACAGTTAGGTCTAGAAATATTTGAACCCTGGCACATGTTTTGTTATTTAACAGTTAAATAATGACTATGGGTATAAAATGCAGTCTCTCAGCTTTAATTTTTAGTGTGTTCACATCCAAATTGGAGGAACGGTTTAGGAATTACAGCTCTTTAATCTGTTACCCCCTCTTTTCCTGGGATCAAACGTAATTAGACAGCAAGACACAGGAATCAGCCTTTGATGAGGGATGCTGGAGATAAACATGGTTGGTGGGCACTACTTTACTTTACACCTATGGTGGAGCTGCGACCAGATCTAGTTCCAACAAAGGGAGGAACTTCTTGGAGGATCTCATCTTCCAGTCAGGGGCAGGCCTCTGGTATATTTCGATATTTGGATCATCAGACATCTTGCCACTCATACATTAGAGCATAGATCTAGCTACACATACTGACATGAGAAGTAGCCCCATTATGACACACAGAGGCCAGATGAGTGATCATCGATGAAGCAGGGCTATGGTGGCGGGAATGGGGAAAGGTGGGGAGATAGATTCCACTTCCATGCCTTCCTCCTTCTCCCACTCTACCCCCACTCTCTTTTTTTTTTCTTTCCCTCTTCTCTTCCCCCTAAATGTATTTTTTCCCTACGTGATGTGAGGCACCCCGACCAGACCATCATTGCCGCTGACCGCAGTGATTTTGTGTGCCAGTATGACCAGACTGACGACCACAATGATGATGCTCAGAATTTTTCAGTCCTTTTATTGACTTCTTTCCTTAGCCTACAGATGGAAAACCCATGTAAATTATCTTCCTTTTAAATTGCATGTTGTTTGGAAGGAGAAACCAACAGTCTGAGTCACATGTAACGTTTCATGATTGTACACCTGAAAATATTTGTACTCATTCGGTTTGTGAATGCGCTATTTGCTTCCCCAGTGAGACCTTCAAATCTTTATGTACTAAATGTCATTGAATGTTATACTTATTCCTAATAAAAAGATATTTACAAAAGTAATTAGACAATTGAGTCAAAAGCTGTTTCATGGATAGGTGTGGGCTATTCTTTCATAATTTCTTAATCAATTAAAAGACCACTATAGTGCCAGGAAAACAGACTCGTTTTGCTGGCACTATGGGGTCATTAGGTCCCCCCCACCCTCGTGGCCCACCTCCCGCTGGACTAAAGGGGTTAAAACCCCTTCAGCCACTTACCTTTCTCCAGCACCGGGCTCCCTCGGTGCTGGGGAACTCTCCTCCCTCTGCCGACGTCAGCTCCGAATGCGCGTAGCAAGAGCAACGTGCGCATTCAAACCGCCCATAGAAAAGCATTACTCAATGCTTTCCTATGGACGTCCAGCATCTTCTCACTGTGATTTTCACAGTGAGAATCGCGGAAGCGCCTCTAGCAGCTGTCAGTGAGACAGCCATTAGAGGCTGGATTAACCCTCAGTGCAGTTTTCAGCTGCGGGGTTAAAACTAGAGGGACCTGGCACCCAGACCACTTCAGTGAGCTAAAGTGGTCTGGGTGCCTATAGTGGTCCTTTAAGAAGGTAAAAGGCCTGGAGTTGATTCTAGGTATGGCATTTGTATTTGGAAGTTGTTGCTGTAAACCCACATAATGCAGTCAACGGACCTCTCAATGCAAATGAGCAGGCCATCCTTAAGCAACCCCAAAAACAATAGCAAAGAGCAGGAACATTAGGAGTGGCCAAATCAATTTTGTACAGTATGAGAAAAGAAAGGGTGCACTGGTTATTCTCAAATTTTATTTGGACAAATAAACACCCAATAATATCCCAGAAAATCCTACAAAACAAATATGACAAAGGTGGCATATCATTTCCAGATATCGCAGTTGCCTCAAACATGTTTAGTTGCGAATGTAATGGTATGGACTAAACTAAATATCCCAAATAACGCCTGGTTTCAGATTGAAGAAGAGAACTGCCCACACAGTAATTTAAATAATGTATTGCAAAGTAATGCTCCAAATCAATTGATAGCCGATATGTTGGTTGTTCTAAAAACGCTGAAAATTAAACTTAACCTTTCAGACTCCATCCTTATACAAGCTCCTATAGAAACTCTTCAATATAACATGATAGATATGGACATGCATAATTGTCCATAAAATAAAATTGCAGATCTTTTTGAAAATAAAATATTGCTTAGCTTTTCATGTTTACAAAATAAATACAATATACCCTTTAGAGATACGTTTCACTATTTAAGGAATTAAACATTAACTCAATTAAATTTTTTTATTTTTGAACACTCTATTTTTGGTTATTTAGACAGATTAGGAACCAAGGGTCTAATTACCAGATCTTCTAAGCTTCTGGAAGGTGAGGCTGACCAAAAAAAAAAATCTCACCAATAGCGAAATGGGAAAAGGAACGTAACATAACTTACACCCCCTATGAATAGTACCAAACTACTATTTAATTAAAAAAAATATCCATTATATATATATATATATATCTTTGTTAGAGGTACATCAAAAGATTCTATATAGATGGTACCAGGTTCCTTTCAAACTACATAAAATTTACGAAGCTTAGAACTGTAACAATGAACCCAACACGCAGAGTGAAAACCTCCAGTAGATTTAAAGACATAAAGAAAGTCCCTAAGCCGGTCTTTAGAATGGCCAGATAAAAGAGATAACTACAAGAAATGTAGAAACAAGCCAAGGTCAAGGGAAGTCAGAAATACACAATAACAAGTAACAAAGCCGAGTCAGAGAAACCAGAAGTGAGAATAGTCAAGAGCAAGCCGGGTCAAAACCAAAATACTATCACATGAGGGTACAGAAACGCAAAAGAGACACTAGTGACACAAGGCCCACTAGGAACCACAACAGGGCACTGTTTTGAGGGGAGACTGGGCTTTTATATGATTGGGGCCATGATTATCATAACCACGCCTCCAAAAGGTACATGTACATTGGGCTCTATTGTATAGAGCTCTCCTGAGTTCATGACGCCGGCACGCATGCGTCAAGCCATTAAAAGGGGCGGCCGGCTGGTGTCCCTGTGGCTGAGTGGAGCTTCTCACAGCGTGAGAGCGGCGGTCCAACTGATCCCGGCTTCGGCAGATCGGTGGATCGATAAGGTAAGTGGGAGGGAGCTGACATTATCCCCCCCCTTAGAAATTCCCACTGGGCAGGAACCACCAGGATGATCAGGGAAGCGAGAATGGAAAGCCCAGAGGAGGTGAGGGGCATGGACAAGATCATCTCCCTCCAGGGCGAATCTCTCCTTAGGGCAATAACCCTTCCAGTGAATAAGGTATTGATGGGCTGCCTTTGAGAGACGGGAATCCACAATAGACTGGACCTCATAGTTGTCTTGCCCTTCCACCACAACAGGAACAGGTGCAGTAAAGGGTCTCGTGTACTTATTACAAGCAAGGGGTTTAACAAAGAAATGTGAACGGTATTAGCGATACGCAAAGCAGAGGGTAACTGCAACCTGTATTAAACTGAGTTCACACGTTTCAGTATCTGATAGGGGCCTATGAAGCGAGGAGACAACGTTTTGGAAGGTACTTTCAGGTTGACATTCTTGGTACTGAGCCAAACCCTATCACCCATTTGATAAGTCGGTGCTGCTCACCGGTGTCTGTCGGCGTATTTTTTCTGCAAGGCGACTTTACGAGTCAGGGTGTGCTGAACTTGCTCCCATGTAGCCATCAGGTTACCCAAATATTCCTCTACAGCCGGCATCTCCAATGAAGGATAGACAGCTGGAAGGATAGAAGGATGGAAGCCATAATTGAGGTAAAAAGGACTGTGGCTCGTGGACTCTCGTTGAATTGTGAGCAAACTCACAATTGAATTGTGAGCAAACTCACAATTGAATTGTGAGCAAACTCAGCCCAGGGAAGCAAGCAGTTTCACCCAGTTATCCTGGTTGCCTGAGATAAAACACTGAAGGTACTGTTCCAAAGATTGGTTAGTCCTCTCAGCAGCACCGTTGGATTGTGGATGATATGCTGATGAATGACATAACTTGATACCTAATTGGTTAGTAAATGCCTTCCAGAATCGGGAGACAAATTGAGGACCCCCATCGGACACTACCTCCTCAGGTATGCCATGTAAGCGGAATACTCTTGCAAATATATCCGCTAATTTGATAGATGAAGGAAGTTTGGGTAAGGACACAAAATGGACCATCTTAGAGAATCTATCCATAACGGTTAAGATTACGGTATGGCCCTCCGGTTTCAGTAAATCCACTATAAAATCAATAAATATGCTGGACCAGTTTGTTTTAGCTATGTTCAAAGGTTGCAACAGATCACAAGGTAAAACATGAGGAGTTTTAGATTGATCACATACGTGACATGTTTGTACGTACTCCTTCACATCCTGCCTAAAAGATGGCCACCAAAACTGAGCAGCAAGGAGATCACTAGTCTTCTTAGTTCCAGGATGGCCAGCAGTCTTGCTATCGTGGCATAAGGCTAAGATCTCTCTACGGAATCCAAATGAGACGAACAACATTTCTTGTGGAGTCTGACTAGGTGCTTCGATTTGTATGTCTTTTAAAGACCTAATAAGGTCTGAACCAATGTTAAGTTGGGTAACTGCAATTAACTTGTTTTTAGGGATAATAGACATTACTTCAACTGTGAGAAAGCATGGTTCGAATTGACGGGATAACGCGTCTGCTTTAGTATTGTTGGTACCGGGTCTATAAGTAAGCACAAAGTTAAAACATGAGAAAAACACCTTGCTTGTCTAGCTGTTAGTCTCTTGGCCTCACTCATGTAGGAAAGATTTTTATGATCCATCTGGATAGTAACAGGGATTTTTCCTTATCTCCTATCTCATAATTCTTCTCTGTTTTAGAAAGTTTCTTAGAAAATAATCCACACAGATGTAGGGATTGATCAGGAGACAAACGTTGGGAAAGAATAGCCCCTACGCCTGTATCGGATGCATCTACCTCCAAAAGAAAAGGGAGTGATGGATCCGGATGTACTAAAATAGGTGCTGAAGCAAATGTAGCCTTCAGGGTGTCAAAGGCAGCAAGTGCTTCCGGAGTCCATACCTGATTGGATTTGCCTTTTTTTGTCATGTTAGAGAAAGGCATCATTATGGAGGAAAACCCTTTTATGAACCTTCTATAGTAGTTGGAAAATCCTATGAAATGTTGGATGTCTTTCAACCCTGTGCGTAAGGGCCATTTGTGGACGGCATCTAGTTTTTTAGGGTCAATTTCGAAGCCGGACTCAAAAATTAAATACCCCAGAAAATGCACCTTTCCTCCAGTAGATTTAGAGACAGAAAGAAAGTCCCTAAGCCGGTCCTTAGAATGGCCGGATAAAAGAGATAACTACAAGAAACGTAGAAACAAGCCAAGGTCAAGGAAAGCCAGAAATACACAATAGTGAGTAACGAAGCCGAGTCAGGTAAACCAGAAGTCAGAATAGTCAAAAGCAAGCTGGGTCAAAACCAAAACTACCACAAAAGGCTACAGAAACACACTAAAGCGATACTAGTGACACAAGGCACACTAGGA